AGCTATAAAAAAAGGAAAATGTGACGATGAATTTTTTTAATGTATTTCTATTAGGTAAAGAATGCTTGAAGACCGTAATAGAGAAAGAAAAATCAACAAAAATATTTGATGTTTTCAAAATTTTGTCTTGATAACTTAAACTAAGAAAATTCTATTGACATTGAGGTCAGAATGACTAACTGTTAATAATCAAATGAGTCCATTTGACATCAGATCACGGCATATACTTACACAATCTTCTCCTACACAATGTTTAGTACTTACTAAGTACTAAACATACAAAAACGCTCACTATCTAAGTACTACTTAGATAGTGAACGTTTTTGTGCTAAATCGAGCGAAACCGACGCAAGAGGATATTAGAGATTTTTTCTTCATTGCCATTTGCGCATGGACTATGGTAATAATAAATATTTTCATAACTATCAGAAATTGGAACTGTCGAAAAAAAAAAAAATGATTTAATTTGTCAGTCATATCTAGCGAAGAAGATAATTATTATTTACAATCTTAGAAAAGACAGCAAAGATTATTATTGTTGTTTTTCACTAATACTACTTTTGTCATCTCTCATCAAAACTATCTCCAATTATAAGTTGATTAATTAATAGATATTAAGAAATTTTTCGTTGAATTTGCTTTTCTTCACAAATCAGTTTCAAGAAAAACGTTATATATATATATATATAATATATTTGATCGTTGAAAAGGCAAAACTTTTAGTGTAATGAAAAGTAAAGAAAAAGGACAATGTAATTTGAATGTGGCTTCACTTTAAAGAAGAAAAATGTCTATAATACGTGTGACATTTTTTTAACAAGTACTAGTTTTATCGCATACTCTACTTTTGTCTGGATTTATATACAACTTGTATTGTGTATATGTGTGTGTATGTGTGGAGGGGGGGAACCAATTCCATGTATCCTATAATGAAAACCAAATTAGACCATCTATTATGTCGATTACTCAAGACAACACATTTAATGAAAAAAGAACAGAAAAGAAAATTGCCTGAAAAAAACGCACTACAGAATCCAAATAAAGAATGATACATCGATTTTTTAGCAATATTATTACAGAAATAATTCACACTGTTATATTCTTCGTTCTAAATTTATTGTGTTCGAATTTATTCATTAAGTCTAAATTGACTAGATTTATTCGATTTTCCCAAAGAAAAAAATTATTGAGTAAATACCGTAAGACATGAGAATGGTATTAAGAAAAAAACATGCACTTATTGAACCGAAGAATGACACATCTGTTCGAGATATACGAGATGCATTATAATGCTAAAATTACGAATACAATCTCTCTTAAACTCTTTGTTTGTTCGTTTTGTGGAGCGCAAAAGAGAATCTCTTGGATGAGGATCAAATCAAGGAAATGCACTCGTATTTTGAAGTTTTCACCGTCTAATTTCAATTTTTTTTCTCAAAACTAACATCGTATTTCGGATTAGCGTTAAAAATTGCATCGAATAATCTTTGCTTCGGAATTTTTAGATCAAAATTTTTGCTGAAAAATCAAAGTTGTCTAAAAATTCGAAAACAAAGATCGTCCGATGCAATTTTTAACGCTAATTCGAAATACGATATTAGTTTTGAGAAGAAAAATTGAAATAGGATGGTGAAAACTTCAAAATACGAGTGCATTTCCCTGATTTTTTTCGTATTCGTGATTTAGTGCATTGTAGAATGCTTTAAGTTTTGGTTAGAAATAATTATGGAATTTTTTTAAGAGATACATTTTGTAGAACAAACAGTTTTCTACAAAATGAGATGTTCCGCAGCTCTGAGCATATCTTGATAATAGATGTATAGGAATTCTCCCGGATATCCCAGTTTTCCGGTACAGTCAAAAACTATATGCTCTTATTTTAGTCAATATGGGTTAAGGCAAAGGCATAGACGAAAGTTGTGTAATAGGGACATAAAGAGAGTATAAAATACTGATTTCAAATATTGTAAAAACGTATTACTTAAATAAAAATTGTTTTGAAAAGTAGTGAATTATTTTTGCAAAATATTGTATTACAACTTTACTATAATGTTGACTAAACAAAACGGTGATTGAAAAACAATTCTGGAGCCAATGCCAGTTTTTTTCTAATTTAAACTGATACCTTTTCGGCATTCGTGCGAAATTCGTACGAGAAATTATTATGTCGCACTGCTGCGTATCGGTGAACATCATCACCACTGCATCAGTAAACATTATTTTTGCTGAATACGTCGTTTCGGTCATCTTCGAAATAATTTTTATTTCAATAGCACAACTAAATTCGGAAATTTGCATTGGAAAAAGAAAAAAAAATCAATTTGCAACAAAGGAAGAATATAAATTACTCAGTATCCCATTTTACCATGTTCATGTCTTGTTTCTACATTTATTACAAAAATAATGTTAAATAGTCACATCATAAAGCAAAGAATAATCATATGAGAGGCATTCATTTAAACTATCAAATCTTTCTATCAATACAAAAGCATCGTCATCAAAGACTGGTAGCTTCTTGAATCAATTTAATTGATGTAATCACTGTCTGAAAACATTTAAAGTTTTTATTCCAACACCTTACACAGGATTAGGCATGCACCAGTCCAATCCGACTGGGGATTGGTAGGATTGGTACCAGTCGGGCTTGTTACCAGTTAGGCTTGGTACCAATCCTACCAATCTCCAGTCAGGATTGGTACCAGTTAGGATTGATACCAGTTAGGCTTGGGTTTCATAAAACATACGTAGTGCGAGACTTAGTTTTATATAGCTACGTGACATATACAATCTTTGAGTGCAAATACAGCAGTCAGCAAAACAATAACACTCAACCGTCTTTTAAGAGCTGAAAGTGGCATACAGTTTCAACGTTTAGATGATTGTTTAATTTAGCAGAGTTTCGAAATCAACAAAGACAAATTAGTACTAGATGGCGATACCGCAAAATTAGACTGTAAAATGATGAGTCATTGGGTTAACGACTCCAGTTGTAAGGCAAGACATTTTTCATAGGCGATGGTTGAAGTGAAGCTGTCTATTAATATAAATAATTTTGAAACTACGGCTCGTGGACTAAAATAAGTGGACTAAATAAACCTCGTCAACAGAAAAATAAGAATACACTTCTGAGAGGGTGATCTTCTTTGAAGTAAAAAAGAAGCACAAAAAAATTACTCTAAGCGCATAGTGCAATGACGGTTACATCTTAGGTTGTACGGTGAAGCTCTTGCCTACTGCATTCGACCAAGCCTAACTGGTACCAATCCTCCAAGCCTAAGATTGGAACTGGTGCATGTCTACACAGGATAGTTTCACTGTAATAACTTACCTTTATGTAATGATATTTCTTTAGCATCATGACCCTTCTCAGAAATATTTCCGATGCACGACATGACTGAGACATTAAATTGCTATACCGTGGCTATATTATTCAACACTGCCAAGACATGTTTTAGTTGATAATGATTTTATCGAGTTGCACAAACTATGATAAATTCACATATACAAAGAGGAAAATGGATGACATAGGGAAGGGACTCAGAGAACCGATTCATTTTACGAAAAGTTGATGCTATGCAGTAACATTGGACTCTAGTTTCTATGTCAGAGATTTCAAGATGCTATTCTAATCTTAACATTTTTGGCGTGACTAATAATAACAACGACCGAACGAACCAAAAGTCTAATGTCAAGCATTGATCATTATTAATAAAATTAGCATAGACTTCCTCTAACTAAGAAACCGGTATTTTGAAGAAAAATTGTATTTTGTCATTTTATAAGAGCTTCAACTCAAGTCTTTTGTGTTACGTGAAATTTGTATTAAGAAAAGTTTTTATTTACAAGGATAACGTAATTGTTTTTTCCTCAATATGAGACATGCTTTTGACATCAGTTAACGTTATCGTTTCAAGATACTGTTTGTTTTGTGAAATTTAAACTGAATATACATACATTGGTGGTAGAAGAGATCTGTGTCACAAAGTTATCCATGTCTTTTATTATATTAAGAATAAGTTTCCTAGCGTTTATCTAACTGATATCTATGGTACATTAGCTAAGAAGATAGCGGTGGGGTACGGGTACTTTTTTCATACTATATTATATATTTCTCCTTCGATTAGTGTACATAGAGAAGTCGGGATAGGATCATGTAAAAAATACATTGATTTTGAAACAATAATTGTCATATTCATCGTTTTATTCTTAATGAGAAAACGGCAAAATACGAGCCCAATTTCATTATTTTTCCATTGGTTTTGATGATACATCGCTTTGTTTCATTATTGGTTGGGGATTTGGTGGCGACAGAAGAGTTCTCATCCTAACAGAGCAATAGCTTTCGATAAATTTCCTTACATGCCTTTGGCTAAATAAGCAAGCACAGACAAAAAAAATGAGATCAACTAAAATTGAAAAGACAGGAGCCCTAAAAATATACACAACAAGAAGAAGAAAAATGACAACGAAAAAAAGAATAAAAGATTATTTGTCTTTCATATTTATCAGCACGTCAGATACATTATTCATTTGTTCTTTAAAACTTTTATGAATGAAAACAGGAAGAACAAAACAATACCGTTTGTTCTAAACGTCTAATACTAAATACTTCGGAAATTAACGAAAATATTGAACGTATATACAAATTGAGGAAAAAAAATCTAGTTTGCATCGTTATACAACAGACGAAAATGTGCGTATGTGTTAATATAAATAAATTAAATTTATCTAACAAGAAATAAAAATCACCCACCCATCATCAGCACAAGTACGACTATGTGACTTAATTGAAATTACAAAGTGGGACAAAAAGAAAAATGGCAAAATGAGAATTAAAGTAAACAGAAAATGTTTTTATAAACATTATTTCGGTGAGAATTATTTGAACATAAAAATAATGTTAACAATCATTAATAAGTAAAAATTTATAAAGTGAACAAAAAACAGAATAAATAACTCTAAGTTTGTTTGAATCAACGTTCTCTGTTTTTTCAATAAGACTATAAGTTGGCTGCAGCCAATGCAGATGGAGCCCAAACAACACAAGTTCTATCAGCACTTGTGGTAACGAACGACATTTCATGTGGATACCATCGTGCTTGAATTATTTTATCCGTATGAGGAGCAACATTGGACAATATAAGAGGCTTAGTCAGATCACCTAAAAAGTAAAAGTAAATACGATACAAGATTATGTCGCAGACAGAATACTGCATCTTTAACCATATGCACATCCTTATCAGGATGAAGTAATAATTTCTTATCGTATAGACTTGTCACGCACACTTTTTTGTCATACGATGCTGTTAATAGATAATGCAAATGAACAGAAAATCGTACACTTCGAATTTCGTCAGCATGTGCTTGATAAATTTGTACAATTCTCTTTCCTCTTAAGTCATATAGTAAACATGTTGCATCCTCGTAGGCTGCAGCCAATAATTGTCCAGAATTATCGACAGCAACAGCCGCTACTGGACTATCTGCAAAAAAAACGGAATATTCATTTTATATTATGAAGTTGAATAAAACCCTTACTACCGGTTGGTGGTGCAATAACATTAACACATTCGTTTGACGAATATCCCATATTTTCGATGTTCCATCTTGACTTCCAGAAACAAAACTACACGCGTCCCATGCAAATAATGAATAAATATGACCTAAACAAAAATAATGAGTGTTTTCACTTTATGTATTATTATTCCTGTTGTACCTTGATGTCCGGCGTAATTTCTTATCGGTGTTTGTTTCATAACATCCGTGACATAGACTTTACAGTCACCAGCCCCACCATTCAGCAATATTGAATCATCACGTAAATGATCATGCATAAATATAAGATCTCTTATTGTACCATTATGATGTGTTAATTCAATTTCAGTATCTAAACAAAACGAAATTGATAGTGACTCAACAAAACATGAATTAAACAGTCTCAATTACTATTTGACCCATCGTCTGGTCTATCCATGTCTAATCGAACAAGTTTAATTAACTTATCATTTGAACCAGTTGCAATAATTCGACCATTCGGACTCCATGACATACAACAGATTGAACCAGGTGATGTTTGCCTTTTTTATAGAGAACTTTAGCTGGTTCTGGTACAGAATCCGTTCTAAAAAAAGATATAATTGTCATTATTGTTCTATTCCTCTTTCAGATTTTATTATCTGGTACCTACGCAATCTTTTTTAGTTCTGGATACGCGCATACACGTAACCTAAAACAAAAAGATAAAATGACTTTCCAAAAAGAAAACTCCCAACTTACTGCTGGTTTTTAGCAAAAGATACACACATTTGTGAGTTGGAACCAACAGCAAGGTAATTTCCACCTTGATGTACATCAACAGCGCGAATTGCTTGCACATCTTCAATCGAAACTAATGGTAGAAATGCTGGTGAGCGGGCAATACAAGGGGGGAAAAGCGGACTCCTGGACTCCCATGGACTCCTGAAGTCTAGGAGTCCAAGAGCAAAGTGTTCTTTTTTGGGAATCACTTCCCAAAAATTGGACACTTTTGTTCTTTTTTGGGAAGTGATTCCCAAAAAAGGGCACTTTGCTCAAGTTCAAGTTCAAGTTCAATTTATTTTGGACTAGCCAGGAAACACAAAAGTTACAGAGAATAGTAACATTAGGTATCTGGTGGATCCAGATACTCTTGTGAGCCCTCTACAAGAATATATGTGTTAAAAAAATTCGAACCCTTTTTCGGTGATAAAAATTAGGAAAACCCTTGAAAAAACTCGATTTTTCCAAATATTGATAAAAATACGCCTAATTCTCAATTACATCAACTTTTAGTTTAGCCATTAAGAAAAACCGAATGACCGAAATTGATCTGAATTTTGACCCATAAAGAGGTTCTATCGTCACTATAATGCACCAAACGTTTCGGCGAAAATGTATCTTTACTTCCCAAGATAACAGGATCCCAACAAATGCATATGCTCTATAAAAGATTCGAAAAAGTGACCTTTGTTCAGAATGTGTTATCTTGAGATGCAGAAATTTAGTTTCGCTGAAACCTTTGTACATTCTGATGACCATAAGACTTCTTTATAGTATAATTTGAGGGGAAAAGCCCACGAATCCGAACCACTATAGGATATTTAACTAGTTACTAGGCCTATCGATTGAATCATTACAAAATTATCAACTTTTCTCTCGGATTATTAAACGACCTGAAATTAATTGTCTATACGAATCGCTGATGAGCCAAGTGCCAATAATGAAAACAGTATTCTCAGATAGTACGGCTTTCCGAGAACATTTGTCATACTATATTGCGATAATATTTGGATCGTTTCGTAATTTTGTAGATTTGTCAACCAAATGCTCCAATGGGACGTCATTCTGTGCAACGTTATCAGAAGGACCAGAATTTATTTTATTTATTTGCTACCATCCCGTATGACAAAGAAAAAGATGTGGTTTGTCGTTAGGAAAAGCAATGACGCATAAACAATTATTTACCTTGTACACGTAAAAGTC